AATCAATCGGATGTGAGGAATAAGTACGTGGAGACGCGTTTTATTTCCCCTGCCGTCCGTGCATCTGTAGAGTTTGCTGTAACCGCTCATTGTGCAAGGTCACAAACTGGTTCAGATACGAGCTGTGGGCAGTTAGTAATCTCGCATGTCTGCTCAATCTGTTACCTCTGTAGATTCTTGATGCCGAGCCGCTTTGAACACGTCTGCTTCGTCAATTAAAAAAAAAGAGGAACACCTTCGCTGATTTCTCTAAGGTGTAGTTTGCAAAATACGTTTAACGTTTGGATGTTAATGGTGTATCCCTAGTTTATATGGCGTTTAAAACAACTAAGCCAAATGAAAATGTATCTTGAAACTACCATCACTGTACTAAGACCATCGGTTATTACCATTCCACGGGGACATCGGGAAGCGAATACAGCCTTACAATTTTTTTTTTCAGCGAACACAATTTTTCTTTCTCCTTCTTGTTGCAGCTCTTGAAGAGATCATTGCGTGAAATGTTAGCAACTATTCCACCAGAGCTTCATTAAAGGCGCTTTCTTTACCACATCGGCACACATGGCCTGCAGTATAGATCCAAAGTCGCAAAAAAACAGAACCACCTACGAACTACGCAAAACAATCTGCCTTGATCATGTATGTGCGGCCAGGCAGACCTCGTGGCCCGCACTGGCCGCCATCGAATAGAACCCCCGGGGGGCTTTCTTCAAACACGCCCTTTTACAGCCGGCTCGTTGGCCTCATCGGTGGGAGCCTGCGGCGCGGTAGTACGCTGCTCGAATACGATGAGCGGGAGACCACGTGCCAAACAACGAGCAAACAGCGCCTGCTCGGCCGGCCAGTGTAATGAATGGCACGCGCTCGCATCGCCCGGAAGGAGTGCGACTCAAACGAACCGAATCAGGACACTGTGTTCGCTTGTGCGAGGCCGGCCTTGCTTGCACTCTGTCCTATGCACGGACATTCACCTTCTGTTATGAAATCAGGGGAGTGCAGGGGCTTACGACACACGCCCGCTTTGGTATTATTGCCCAGGCTGCATGCGCCGGTCGACAACGGCGGAATTCCGACGACGATGGGTCCCAATGAAATTCACCGCGTACGTATGCATAGCTTCTCCTGCATGCTCGCGTTTTTACTCGGAATCACTGGGACGCGTCATCATGGGAACATCTCGCGGTGAAGATTGTCCCCAATTTTACGAGATGAGGAACTCGTGAGATGGAGTGTAGGTTGCATCACTGAGAGTTCCGAAAGCGGAATTTCGCCCGGAAACATCAGTACTGGTCTCCGTCGCTGCTCGACACCAAATTTGAGATGAAATAGAGTTCATATAGGCATCGATTCTTATATAGGCATTTGTATGCTCCTATAAAAATTTACGTGCAAACATCCAAAATAGGCATTTATAGGCACAATAAAAACAATGTAAAAGCTCTTCTTCACCTCTAATTAATGATCATATATATCAAAGTGGCACAATAAAAACGCAAGAAACAAAAAAGGCATCTGCCTATAATCCAGGCTCTACTCATAGCCCTCATTAGCTGCTAGGCAGCTGACACCACATCTTGTCATTAAAAAAGAAAGTGAGAGCAGTGACGATCTAGACACGCTAGTACAATCGAAGCTGTATGAAGCTTGGATCTCTTACATCAATGGGGTCAGCGTTAGTCGTGTTAATAATTTAAAGAATTATTTATTAACAGCATGTGTGGACGTACGAATATAGAAGTACTTTTTCTTCATCGCTCATTGGACACGGCTCAAACAGACAGACACAAAGCGCTTTAATCAGTCGACAAAGTCAATTGTTAATAACCCCTATTTGGCAATCGACACTATTACGCAGACTGGACAATAAGAACGCGAACGTCACTGCTACCTCTAAGCAAAAGTTTCTGCTGTGCAGTTCGTCTAACAATACGAACGACATGACAAAGACGAATGTGAAATACGCCAGTGCGAACCAGAACGCCCTCCAGCGTTCTCTTCATTTACTCCGTGCGTGTGCTGTGATTTCTTTCTTTCTTTTTTCGGGTAATATCAGTTGCAAGTCGACGCTCTGTCCTGTCCCCTTTCTTTTTTTTTTTTTCGTCTACGTGGGCTGCGTCCTTCAACTTTCTTCAGAATGAACCAACTATCCCAACAACGCGTTCTAGCAAACGACATATCGTTTGTGGGCAAAAAGCATTGTATGCAACTGTACACCGCTTTGTAACCCGTCTACATGCGTGAGTGGTAACACCGAACGATCCCAACGTTTCGCTCAGTCATCACTGACTCCATAATGATGCCGTGATTTTTTTTTGTACCCTTCGACCTCGTTATCTTATCGCAATTCCTTCCCCAACGGGAAGTATTATAGGGTGTGTTTGCAAAGGAGCATCAGGCACCATGGCGTGGCTTTGTGGTATAATACTGAGCTGCAATGCAGAGGGCCCAGCTTTGAATCACATTATATTCTGGACATCTCTTTCTCATTTAGTTTTCCTTTTGTTTTATTTCGCGCGACAGTGGTTACTGACAACAGTGGCATCGACGAAAAACTTCGGCACCTTTGCTGCGATCTCGTAGACAGCATTCCTTGTAAAATAATGCCGCATTCTAAGGAAATTCAGCTTATCTTGTGAGGACTAGACTTTCGTTACATGCCATTCTCGCGACAATCATGCGGAAAAGAAACTACGCTTTGTCTGTTTCAGCACTGTGAAGCACTTGCGGTAAATCTTACTTGCCTTTAGTAAATCTATAGAAACACGGCTAGAAAGTTCCAGTCTCTAGCACACCTCTCAACTTTCGCCATCGATAAATCGATGAGACGTTCGAAAACTGCAGGAACCGCCTCGTGGCAAATTCTCCTTCATTGTTTCCAGGGAGCACACATGGAGAATGTTCTTTCGGGTAGGCGCGCTTGAGTGTCAGCTTGGACCGCGATCTGAAGCGTGACCTGACCTATGAAGATCAGGTGCCTGTACTCTATGCATGGCAGACTCAAAGTCGTCACCTCGAAGATATCGGGCGAGTAAAGTAAGCTTCGGGTGGCTTCTTCGGTAAGCGTAGGAACTCAGTGACCTGGTTTAAGATGCGAGAGAACTAGACATCGGCTGGATTCCTCTCTGTTTTCGAAAGCGCGTGCCCATCATGAGTCATCGCAGGCGGGCCTCTCTCGAGCATTCGGAATAAGGAATCTTTGTGTTCCAACGAATTCCATTTAACGAACAGCAGCAAGGTATCTTCAAAAGGAAAAGGAGTGCGACAAAAAAAAAGCAAGGCATAAGTCCACGCATGGCATATGGCCACCACAATGGCTGCTGTGAGTGATGAAGGACCTGGACGTTTACACACACAACAGCCATTTTTAACAGTCTTTCTGTCTTCTTTTGTTTTTCGGAACACCAATATTTTATACTCCCACAAAAAGATAAAATAGCGAGGTTGACAATGGAAGCTGTAAAAAATTCCCAAGATGGATAGCTATTGTGCAAGCACTCCGCCCGTGTCCTAGTCGAATAAAACATCGCATTATGCCCAGTAGTGTGTGAAGCGCCCTTGTATGTGTCGTCAAAAAGGAAAGAAGGAAAATTTGGCAGATCCCACGTATCTTGGCAATCGATGTTACGTGAAGCATGCTGAGGGAAGGTGACTGCGTTGTAATTTATTTATTGGGTGAAATGTTAAAAAAAATGCCGCTAAATATATCTACAAATGTTGTTCGCACGGACATATGTTGAACAGGTGCATATGTTTTATATCACCAGTTTACAGTTGCCTAACGATGCCAACAGCGACATGGGTATTAGCAACACTAGAAACAGTGAGCTGACAAGTAGGGCTTGTGCTCGCGAGGTTGGTAACCCTGGGCACTGGAATCAGCTTCAGTGCATGGCGCTCAACTGCAATTCGCGTTAACCCGACGTGACGGCTGTACCTCAGGATTACATATGTATTGTATATGAGATTGCCACCACAATTGACGTTTCAGGAACGTTATAAAATATATTTAAAAAGAAGTTCCAAGACCTATCGTGCCCATGTGGTACAGTATACTAGATTACCACGCAGAATGCTGGGGTTCGATTCCTGCTGGAACCTTTACATTTATTGTTTGCAGTCATTGGTTCAACGCAGCCGATGTCAGCTTCTTCTTAACGATAATGCGTTACAATTTTCAACATCTCTTCTCACCGTTCCTGAGTAGATATAAAATGTCAATCGCTTGTGGAATATACCCGCCAGTGGTGTGCGGATAGGTGCCTCACGACGTACGCCACTTGATGATGATGATGATGATGATGATGACAATGTCACATTCCTAATGTCAATTCGTTACACCATTTTATTTTCGCATACTAACTTTGGTTTACCCTAACACAAAGGGATGAATAGGTAGGTAGGTAGGTAGGTAGGTAGGTAGGTAGGTAGGTAGGTAGGTAGGTAGGTAGGTAGGTAGGTAGGTAGGTAGGTAGGTAGGTAGGTAGGTAGGTAGGTAGGTAGGTAGGTAGGTAGGTAGGTAGGTAGGTAGGTAGGTAGGTAGGTAGGTGGGTAGGTAGGTAGGTAGGTAGGTAGGTAGGTAGGTAGGTAGGTAGGTAGGTAGGTAGGTAGGTAGGTAGGTAGGTAGGTAGGTAGGTAGGTAGGTAGGTAGGTAGGTAGGTAGGTAGGTAGGTAGGTAGGTAAAATGAAGATGCACATCTCTGCTCGTGGCACCTTGTTAGAGTGTGTAGCCACCACCGCTGTTTACGTGGGGCTTCAAGACCGAATAAGGACACGCAGTCAAAGACAGAGGTAAGCGACGAAAGTAAGAGCGCCTGTATTGTCATCAACTGCTTCTGCCCTTGTTTGCGTGCGCACAAGTGTCCTCCTAGGCAAAACCAACTCGCCCAAGAATCGGTGATTTTGTGCTTATACAAAGTATGTCCCAAATTCTGAAAAACCAGGGAAATTCAATATTTGTTCGATGCCACTTCAATTACTTCTGTATCCGCAGGCATCTTAAGATGGGTGAGTACATCATTCCGTACAGTATTACAAAATATAGATTACACTTTCAATTATGAAGTTATGTGGTTATGTAAAGTGAGAGAATTGAAGGTTTTCATTCTAAGAACCCATTGCAGCTTTGAGGTTTCGAAAAAGTGGCCTCTAGTGATAACTCGAAACTCCTGTAATTCACTCAAATTCAGCCCCCAAACCGAGGACGAACCTCGAAGAGCGCCGCTGCCATGTTCTTCTGAGACATCTAGAATGAGTAATCATCGTTATATCAATGGACTTCGTTGTGTGGGTGTGCGGACTGCGCTAATAATTGTAGCAAGCATGACGCACATACGTTAACGAACGCGGAAGAACTACACGCCTGTATTGTTGTCTTGAACAGTGAAGTTATTCTGGTCGTCTGCTTGTTGCGTTCACAGGTGCTTCGGTTTCAGATTCACCATACCATTTAATTAGGCAGCAAATATTGCTATAAGCCACTTTCTTGAAATCTGAAAGCTGCAACTGCTTATGCACATGAAGAACTCCGATTTTTTTTAATTCGATGCAACCACCTAACTCCACGAATTAAAAAACTATTTAGTTAAACACTTTAATTACTATCCCAAATGATATCTTTGACCATTCTAAGACGCCTGCCTCTACAGAAAAAGCACTTGTGAAGGCAGCGACCGAATATTGCATTTTTCTCATTTTTAGGGGATATTGGGAACGTTTCTTTAAACACTCGGTAAACACACCAGCTTGGGTAGGAATAAGCTGTTTAGTTGAAAGCTATAGCGCACGTCTTGTGTTCCTCTCTTCTAAATGCGAAACATTTCATAGCAAACCAACAGAATTTTGACCACTTGTATCTATCTATCCCAATCGCATACGTCTTGGTTGCTTCCTTGACACCGTATACACCAAGACAGGCCTGTAAAGGCACGAGTGTATAAACAACGTGACTGACTGCTAATGCCAAAAGGTCACTACGCCCTCTTCCCAGCTCGCGTACGTTCTTATGTGCGGTAGGTGGGAGATTCACAGTTCATATCGACCCAGGAACGGTGAGATGAGAAAGGTTCGTTTCACAGAAAACTTGGTGTCGGCGATGGCGCTTTGGTCAGGAAAAAAAACAAACAAGAACAACTGATGCATAGAAAAAAAAACAAGAGAGTTTGTGTCACAATAGGCGCAGTAGTTCTGCATGGCAGTCACGTATTCTACCGCAGAGCCTCGTCTGCTTTAGAAACGGCTTTTCTAAATGACAGTACGACAGTGTCATGAGGCTGCGACGTCAGTTGCGGTTCCGCATGTTCGCATTGATAACAGCGTGACAAACGTTAAACATTTACTTTGTGACTCGGAAAGCTATACACCTAAGTGGGGCTTGACACTGGAAGAGTACGCTAACAAAAAATGAGCACGTACATTACGCCGTTGCGTGTAGTTGTAAGACAGATCTCTGTGATCTAACGAGAATTCTGACGTTGCGTCGCACCATAAGGTGCCCTTGAAGCGGCACACCCGGCAAGCCCATTATATTCGCATATACTGGCTTAATGGACAAATGTTTGAATGTGTGTACAGTGAATGCGTAAACCAATCTACCAAAACACGTCGATCCATATCACTTGACTCACAGCTATAAAAATGCAGCACCCGCCTAATGCTTCACATGAAATTATTCCGAAAATGCGTTCAAATTTGTTGCTATAGTGCATCGGCTGCATCGGCCTTGAGGCAAAACTTTTACTTTTAGTACTTGGTATAACCTGCCTGAATCCATAGTGCACGAACAAAACCCCTTAAAATTTAAACAACTAATCACAAATCACTTGATATGTTAGTAAATTTACAATTGTTGCCGTTTTCTTCCACGTATATATATTTTTCTTTCTGTTGACATTGTTTTTTTATCATGTAGTTCACTTTCGATTATGCTTTGTACCATTGACAATCATGCATCTGTTGAATTGTGTTTTTGCCTCCCCCTTATGTAATACCCCGCAAGGGGCTTTTAAGGGTTCAATAAATGATGATGATGATGATGGTATTCTATTGATATCGCAATCCACTGTCCGACTTGTGTGCGAAACTTGGGCAGCTTTTCCAAAAATTTATATGTCATAGAGGCCCTAGACATTTGTTCTATCACGCTTGTTCGATCGAACCGGCACTTTTGCAATTAACCCTATATACTTGGATGTAGTACGAGTGACCTTTGTCTTTTGCAGAGGAACCGCGCGTGCACGTGGTGGGCGTGCTGGGCGAGAGGGCGTCGCTGCCGTGTGACATGACGCCAAACACGACGGACGACGAGGTCTCCCTGGTGCTGTGGTACAAGGACGACTCGACCACGCCCATCTACTCGTGCGACGCGCGCCGCAGCAGCCTGTCGCAGGCGCACCACGCTCCGGCGGACTGGCTCGGTCACCGGGCCTACCTGCGGCTGGGGCCTCCCGAGGAGCCCGCCGGAGGCCAGGCGGCCCTCGAGCTGTACCCGGTGCACGAGGAGGACGAGGGCCTGTACCGCTGCCGAGTGGACTTCCGCAAGGCGCGCACCAGGAACTACGAGGTCGTGCTCAAGGTCATCTGTGAGTGGTCACCGTTTTTGAGCTTCTTGGCACGCGCTTCGAACGAACACGCATCTTGTACGGACTCTATCCGCGATGTGATCCCGCTGTATGAACTGGACTACAGCCATTGACTGTGCTCATGCGTTATAAGCCCTGTAGTGTGTATATGTACATAGTGCCTGTGATTATTATTTTTTTTTTTATTTTGTTTATTCTTCCTAAAGTTTCGTATCTGTGTGTGTATCTTGTAAACATTACTACCATGATGTTGCGATAGCCAGCTCTAACGTAGCCTACCTTTCCATATTTTTATATAATAATAATAATAATAATAATAATAATAAAAACCACTTGCGAGGATAAAAATAACGTAAGCTTGTAGAAAAACGTAACTTAAAAGGAGGATTCGTGGCTGGGATAGTTGGTTGACAATGCTAAACTGGCGAAGCAAGAATTCGGTGCAGTACACAGAACGCAAACTGCGCATGCAGTGCTTGTCTTGTGCTGTGTGTGTCGGTTCTTTCATGTCCGGTACCGAATTAGCACTCTGCCGTTCAGCCCTGTCGGGAAACTGCCGCGAGGAATTCCTCTGTGGTCGCGTGTATACGTCAGTCACAGCGCTTGTGCGTGCAGCAGTTTTTCGCTACCTTTTAGCGTTCCCTGTTTTCTCGCACAAGTCAAACTGGCCCATTCGCGCGCATTGTTACGTCGTCCTAGTATGTGGCGTGCACTCGGGAACTTCTTCACGAAACCGCACCAGCCGAAAACGCGCTCGGATGCACGCGGGACATTCCTAAGTGTGCATGCGCTGGTTTCACGGTGCACTCTACTTGTAACCCTGGTCCTTGGCGAATTCCTGTCTGTGCATCCTTTTAGCTCACACGCACTCGAGGAGAATTAGTGGAGTGGTGTTTCTCGATGCCTTCAGTTGATGTACCGCACTATATATACGCGGCGATCGGCGGTATACGTGCACAGCATGGCCGTGGAGTCGCGCACTTTGTCAAGCTCCATCCAGCGAAGCCGTTTTCTCATAAATGCGGACGCATGGCCCTCTTAGGTCGAGTTACATAGCGTTTACAAATCAGCGATTTTGAGGACGAAAAGGTAGCGTGATTTAGCGCCGCACACGAAATGGTGGGTGGTTCCGCCTATTGGTAAACGTTCTTTACTTGATCATTTTTTCAAACAATCGAAACCCTTGTTAAATACCACACTCCATCATAAATATCCGAAGACATGTAGATACATATGAGGTGTATTCTAAAGCTGCTCACTAAAGACAGAGATGCGCTTCCTAAGTCGTTGTTGAAGTTCAAACTGTCCGAAGTTCGCTTGTGGTACCAAATTTAGGAAATATTAGATACCAAAGCGCTTCTACGCCCACGCTGTGAGAAAAGTGTGCAACTGTCCTTCGGTCTCTCCTGTAAGACGAATTACTTTAAATGTATAGTTCAATATAGCGATATAAATTATCTCGGAGGTGCTGAATCTAGAACCTACAGTTCGTGCTCCGAAGCCAGCCGTCTTGCCCTCAGGGCTAACCACGAAATGTAAACGTAGCTAAACCATGTGAATCCGACCTACCGGTGGTACAAAAATAAACTAAAATGGATCACTTTTAACGGCGAAGCTGTCCTTGGTCGAGCCTTTCATGTCAGCGATCCGTGGTATAACCCTTGTGGACATCATATGTTTGTTTTTTTTGTTTGTTTGTTCCTTTGTTTGTTTATTTGTCGCCTAAAAGCTTTTGGCTCATACCTAACCTAACATAATGCACGGGTATGCGCCATAGACATGGGGCGAAATCCCACTACTCAGGACTCCATGGTCAACTAAAAAATTAGGGGACCCTAAAGCTTCGCCTTTAACAGGTGAACAGGTTAGCAATGTTCTGTTCCTAGTGCGTAATACCAACACTTAGTGCAAGAAACCGTTTAGAACTTGCTATGCACCCCCGCTACGTGGCCTTAAGGGTGCAGTAACTTGCGTGCCTTTTGTAGTTGGTGACCGGCTTGAAACCACGAAGTCAATATGATAATAACGTGCTCTGACGCCCGATGGCAATGTACGCTTGTACCACGCATTTATTGCACGTTGGCGCTATCTCCGGCGACACTCATACAGATGGTGTGGACGGGCACACGCATTACATGCACACAGACAACACGAACACCCCAGAATCGTGGGAGTGCCTCTTGCGTGCCTCCGAGCCAGAAGACCAACGCCGTCTCATCCAGCGCGCAGTGGAGGCTGCGGTATCCCAAGGGATCCCTGCCGACCTCCTCTGAAATAGCGCAACCATGCAGTCTCTGTACTGGTCCCTTCCATTTTTTTTTCTTTATTTCGGATAGAAATAAAGATATATAACTACCACCACCACGCATTATTGCTGCAATATTTCACGTTGTATTGGAAAGCATGTATACAGCATGCGCGTGTTTGTAAGGCATGAAAGGTACTTTCACTGCAATTCCAAGCAGATGAAGTTATTTTTACTATGTTCACAAGTTGACGCGGGGTTGTGAGTTAGAACAGCCGCTTGCTGCGCCAACGACCCAGGTTCGATGCCCACGGAGACCCAGGATGTTGTTATCACTTATTTTATTAGCATCGTTATCGATTTTTCGGTCACGCCATCAGATGATATGACTTCTTGCTCACAACCAATGACGCCGACACAAGAATTTCGCCCAAACGATCTCTTTCGCTATCGCCTTAAATGTAAGGCAACCGTTGCCCAAACAAACGGATTAGCGCAACAAAAGTCTATGCGGCCTATCAGAAAAACTGTAATCCTCATAAACGCGTGTGTGCCGCAGAAGCTGGGTGAATTCAGCTGCACAAAACTACCACTAAAAAAACAATGGCCCCGTATCTGCATGTTACACTGCAAATGTCTTCGAAAGACAATATTCTTGCGTGTGGAGAGAGTGAACAAGACATTTATTTGATGTTCTGCGCAAGAAAATCGGTGAATGATATTCTGAAGGCGCTGCGTTTAAGTGCCTCGAGCGTGCAGCGGAGGCGAACGAGTGAATCAAGTCACGTCACACGTGAGACATGAGCGCCTTCTGGCAGTTTTCTTCGAAAACAAAGCGCGTGGCTCTGAGACGGGTGTGCTCGCCCGTCTCAGAGGTTATAAGATGTAGAACGCAAGGCGACGGGTAGGTGCCACCACCGTCTCGTTTTAGCAAAGCGTTAAAAACACTCTCCTTGTCGTGCAAGCGTAGCATGGTCAGCGCAACGCGATAAGTGCTACGGTCCTTAAAATTACTTCTGTATCCTTTTTCTAAAAAAAGATGCACATGCAGAATATATACGTGTCGTTAAGGTGCCCCAGACATGCGCAATAATTGCTTTTTAATCGACAATCGCACAAGTAAGAACGCTGAACCTTGAGAAAGATTGGTGGTCGCTGCGGATGGGGTCGGCCGTTTCAAGTACCCGATGCTGTTAAGAGTGGACAAAAGACAAAATGACAGACAGACAGACATACCAAAATTTTTGCGTCGAAGGTCCCCAAGAAAGACTATCGTCTTTAAAAAGGCGCGACAGTTAGCCCAACCAGCGCCATCAGGCGTCACGTCACACCAGGCGTCACGTGATACTTAGTCGCTATAAAACGTGGTGGCTATGCTACCACATCAAAGCTTATCAGTGGTACATCATATTGGAGCATCTTATCGAGGTGTTCTTTGCAAACCTGTGCAGCGCCGCTGACCTGCGTATAGGACTGGTATGGTCAAGATGCGGTAAATCTATACTACCACCTCTCAAAGTTTAACAAGGAGTGTTTATTGAAGATCAGTGATACACTATACCTGAAACACTATAGCAAAACATATAAATGCGTCAGCCTGACTAAGGAGGGAACGCCACCAGTTCGGCTGTTCCATCGGTGCCCGCATAGGGGCGCTGTTTGAATCTTTATGGATTCGAACCCCAGTGCTTTTTCAAAGCACTGGGGTTTAGGGACCGGGAGGGCAAAATAAACTTTAAGCGGGTAGACTTAACTAGAAGGAGGTTATCTGATTGGTGGCTAAAGTGAAGGCACGAGTGAAAATTAAACTCTTCACTGCAAAGTAAGAATCCTCAAACTCACTTTTTAAGGAAAAAAAATAAATATAGTTTTTGGTTCATTAGGTATTACGGCTTGGTGGCGCTAGCCACCGCCCGATCTAAAGGGTACAGTCATATCCATCCATCCATCCATCCATGGAGGAGTCGGTAGCATATTTAGTGGTGTTGAAAGTGGGGAACATGTGAAACCGATCTCGAAGATCATACGCACCAGGTAAAGAAAAGACGCTTGAGCTTTGCTTTCAAAAGTAGAACGCGTTAGTGTGATCGGGCCCCCTGCACACCGCCTTTTGATTCGCTTGCCTAGGTTCGGTTCTCTGCATGTGCATGCCCCGACAAACGAGCGTCTGTGCGCGTAGAATCGGTCGCTTGAAAGTCTCTCAAAGTGCCTACTGATGTAGTGTTCTACCACAGCTCGTGTTCTACCACAAAGCCACGCCGTTATTTCAAACTGCTCATTGAAAGAAATAGACACTATATGAATGTCATGTAGATGGAGGAGTATTTCGAACGCATGTAATATAAACGGTACACGTTGACAAGGTGAGAAGCAGGAACAGTGCATGGACGACGTATTTAGTTTACTCAGGTGCCTCATATCAAGAGCGCGGACTAAGGAGCAACGTCACACACGTCGCATCAACTTCTTCTGGGGCCGTACAATTCCAGCACATTAAACGCCTTCATTATGAGGGCGCGGCTTCAAAGCTATCAGTTTCCAGCTTCGAGGTTTGTCCGTTACTATTTTCAAACCGACTTTTAATTACGCTAGCTGCATAATCGAACGATTTGCTGCACTGACGCGGAGTTATCCGAGAAACTGCGTTATGTTGGCATCCTTCTTATGATGCGGCAAAAAGATGACTCCAGTGGAAGAGTATTGGTGTTTCGAGACAGCATCACGCGTTTGCTCTGTGTCCTAATATATTATCTGGGGATTAAGGTCCCGAGACTACCATATGATTATGAGAGACGCGGTAGTAAAGGGCTCCGAAAATTTCGGCCACCTGGGGTTTTTTAAGAGCACCTAAATCAAAGTGCGTGGCGCTCAAACATAGGCACGTGTGGAACGAGGGCAAGAGCTTCGGCGAGTTAGCGGAATTCAAGGCAAACATTATTATGCTGCACAAAACAACGTCATCAATCATTTATTTGGGCAAAATAAGGGGAAGTAAACAGTCAAGTCCGCTCAGCCGTGAAATATTCGACTACTGCTGCTATTGTTTCCTTCTAACAGAATTTAGTACGAAACAAACTTTTTTTTCCTATGTTGCCAGTGCCCCCTAACGAACCAATCATAACCGACCAGAATGGGGAGATCCTTCCCGAGCAAAAGCATCATTGGGCCGTACAACGAGGGAGACCGCCTGCTGCTGGTTTGCCAAGTCGAAGGAGGTGAGCTTCTGCTCTAAACGTGTTCTGTCCACAGGCATTAACCAAGTCGCCTCGTGTTCACAGGCAGTCCTCCGCCGGTGGTCACGTGGTGGCGCGAGTCGTTCCTCCTGGACGACCAGTACAACGTGACCTCTCAGGGGATCTCGAGGAACGAGCTGCTTCTTCCCTCTCTGGGCCGCAATGACCTCATGGCCACCTTCACCTGCTTGGCCACCAACAACAACATCTCCTTCCCGGTGTCCGCCAGCGTCACTGTTGACCTCAACTGTAAGCACCCCAAATTAGGCGCGCCACGAATGCATGTGTGCTGCCGCTCGGAACGTCGCCTAGTGAAATTATTCCTATAACGAACTGCCTTCACTTATAGATCGTACCCAGAGCAAACACAGAGTGGAAACAAATAAAGTAGAACCTCGTTGATGCGTTCCCGTTTCGCACGGGTTCCCGTGGCAACGTTCGAGATATCAATTTCACGCGAAACTGCGTCATGTTTTAACGAATTTGAATTGTACGTTTTTTCGGACAGTCCTTTTTTTTCATGTTTCTTTTATTCATGAATTTGTGAACAAGGTCCCTTGATTTGATTGGTAGCTCTCGATCGGCTCTCTCCTGATTGGCTGGTGACGTAACCCTCTTCGCGGCGGTGGGTCCACGTAAAATCATTTTATATGTTTACTCGAGGTCTGTACGTACATTACAGATAGAGAGCGGTGAGAGAAACGGGAAAACTAAGGTTATACAAATACGAGAGAGCACTACAGTGTCTCAAATGAGGAAGAAAAAACCTACGGGTCTTCTTGTCCCTCAGTCACGAATTTCTGTACAAACTACTTATGGGTACAACATACTAGTTGGTACACCCTACTAATGGGACACCGCACGAGGTTCGGCTGAGTTGGCTTCTACACGAGTGCACGCCGCCATCAGACTGACCGTGGTGACCGGTGCGATCCCATCGTTCAGTGCGCGCTGGCCGACGGGCATAAAACTCGGGTGGTGTTTCACGTAACTTTACACGGTGTGGCTCAGCTGAGGAGGAGGGGGAGGAGGAATAAATGACGAAGGACAGGGAGGTTAGCCAGTTCTCAGACCGGCTGGCTACCCTGTGCTGGGGAAGGGGGTAAGGGGGATAAAGGATGAGAGAAAAGATACGTTGTGACTCAGCTGAAGCTGAAGGTGGCATTGTGGTGATGCACCCGGACGACTTGCTTCAATGTCTTCGCAGTCCGTCCGCTCTCGGTGTGGATCGAGGGCGAGCAGCGGCCTCTGTCGGCGGGCAAGCCTGTGACGCTGCGCTGTCTCTCGGCCGGCTCGAGGCCCCCCGCCGTGGTCGAGTGGTGGAAGGCGGGCGTGCGAATGAACGCCACGCAAGTGAACGGCACCAGTGCTCTCACCTTCGTCCCCGTCAGCGAGGACTCGGGCAAGCAGATCTCGTGCCGCGCCGAGAACCCACTCATCGCCGGAAGCGCAATCGAAGACGGCTGGAAGCTCGAAGTGCACTGTAAGATTCCCGTTTGTTACAAGTCGCGAAAGGGCGCGTAGTTAGCGGGCCACGAGCTGCCGGCTTGTACTGGGAGCATTTCCAACAAGTGCGCCATCTTTAGAGAATCGCAGTTAGGTGGGCGAGTTGGTTTGGGTTCATATTGAAGAGAATTTACAGGAATTCGTTCAATTTTGGCACTCGTCTTATGCCATAGACTCCACGCATTTGCCATGGGGTACAAACTACGTTTTTTTTTTTTTTTTTTTTTGCGGATATAGTGCTCCCTTCACTTGGCTATCAGCAAATGTGACCAAATGTGAAAGAAAAAAAAAGCACTGGCTCAGCCTTAACTCATCTAAACGTAGTTATCAAGTGTATGAAGTAAATACACAAAAATATAGGTAGACAGAGGGAAAAGGAGAAATAATGAGAAATAAACAAAAATAGAAAGAGACAAAAATAAAAATAGAAAGGCAAAGAGAGGCATTAACAGAAAAAAAGGAACAGAAATAAAATAAACTGCATTTTCTCGTAGGCGTAGTTACAAAACGAGATTCAATAAAGAAAAAAAATGTATTCTTGCTGTGGGGAAGCTCAAAAAACGACATAGCATGTTCTGACTTAATGTGTTTATTTCCGGCCCGGGTGTTCATTCGGCCACCAGCGTACGTAGAACTTTAGCGTATTCAATAGAGCTGGTTGGTAACATGCAGATTTTGAACGATGAAACCGGGCTATAACAGGAATAAGACGAGCGCCGTGTTGTACGAGTCCTAGCCGTGCATGTGTACAGCGTCGTGCGGCTGTCCTCTAGTTTTGTTCTTGTTCGTTCTAAGTCATTATGTTACCTTGGATTTTATAGACACACTGGAAAGGTAAACAGGGACACGACAGAAATAAGTTAAAAGACTGTCGGATAAGGAATAGTAGGGAGAAAGTACGTGATTGATTGTTGATAGAACTAAGATTATTACGCCGTAAGGCGCAGAAAGTTTCCGAACTTAAGGGCGCAGAGGGTCGCTGCCCCGACGGGGACGTCTAGGTTTATTTCATTCCACCCTCAGACGTGCCACAGCTGAACCTTCGGCTGGGCAGCAAGCTCCGGCACCAGCACATTCAAGAGGGCAACGACGTGTTCCTCGAGTGCGACATCCGGGCCAGTCCGTGGGTGACGGAAATCGGCTGGCGCTTCGAAGGCCGGGACCTTTCCACGTCGGCCGGCATCATCGTGAGCAACCAGTCGTTGGTGCTGCAGAAGGTCAGCCGCCGAGAACGGGGCCGATACACATGCACGGCCACCAACGCCGAGGGCATGGGCGAGAGCAACGCCCTCAACCTCAGGGTCCGATGTGAGTATACGCCGTACATCTGTCGTTCGCCGTATAGCCTCCTCCAACAAAAGGGCCACGAATCACAGGGCCACCCAAAGACTTGTGGTTCTCCGCGAAAGCTAGAAGTACAGGGTCTATTATACCTATACAGATACGAATAGTGGACCTTAAGAAAATGTTTCAGCGCGAAACAAGCCCAAGTCACCGACTGTAAACAACGCTCGCCGCCGGCGCCATTCCCTTGACCTCCGCTATCACGTTAACCGTAAACTATAACTGTCTGTTGTGTGCAGCAAGGAGCGTAGCCGTCGTCTGCGACCAAAGTTTCGGGCTCTGCAAATCGTTCGCTTTTAGCGCCAGGCTGAAGAAAGAATACCACTAGAACAAAGGACAGAATATGAAAGACTTAAATTACTCTTTTTAATCATTAAAGAACAACTAAAAATAGACAAATCGAAGTATATGTATATAAAAACTGGAAAAACGTCAAGGCACCGGCATAACATGTACATCCCCCCTCCCAGATCACACAACGATTGTTTTAAGTTCAGTTTCTTTCCGCGGGCGATCAGTGAGTGGAACAGGCTGCCGAATTCCACTGTCTTATCGGAATGTGTACCTTCTTTCTTGAAGGGCCTAAAGGATGTCGTGTATAAAGACGTATAGTTTATATTTTGCTTATTCTATGTCCTCAAGAGCAGAGTGCTTTGGCTATTTCTTGTCATTCACTGTTATGTATAATAGAAGTTGTATAGGGAGTACCTATTTTTTGTATGTATATTGGTTTTTTCCGCCCCTGTTATAGCCCAAATGGGGCTGACAGTATAATAAAATGAAATGAAATGAATAGGATATCTCGACTTCGCGCACAGCTGACCACGGAACAACGTCGTTCGCCAGAATGCTCCCATAAGCAGCTGCTTCTGACGTCACAACTCGCGAGTGCGCCAATGTTGCCCGACTCCTAGGACGCTCGCGTGGTTATAAAAACATTCACTCTTAAATTCATTCCTCGACCGAATGTGCAGAAACTTCGCGACCTTGCTTGTGAACGCATCGTGATTCACCCACACAACAGCGATTATGACCGAAAATTATATGTCATGGCCCTTAACGGAATGTGAAGCTCGGAGATTCACTTTTAAGGTTCGCACCGAAACTCCGCGCATGTATATTTGCGTGACATCATGGAAATTTGTGTGTGTGTGCGTGTGTGTGTGTGTGCGTGCGTGCGTGTGTGTGCGTGTGTGTGTGTGTGTGTGTGTGTGTGTGTGTGTGTGTGTGTGTGTGTGTGCGTGTGTGTGTGTGTGTGTGTGTGTGTGGTGTGTGTGTGTGTGTGTGTGTGTGTGTGTGTGTGTGTGTGTGTGTGTGTGTGTGTGTGTGTGTGTGTGTGTGTGTGTGTGTATTTTAATCACATCGACTCAACGAAATTTCCTGAAACTTTGTACGTTAACTCTCTCAGAGATCATTTGTACAGTCGTCGCAGAAGAAGATGAGCACAAGCGGCGAATTACATGAAAGGAAAAAAAATCGCGTAGCTGGACGTCTTGTTCCCCAGCAAGAGGCACAAAGAAGGTCATATATAAGGCCTGCATTTCCAATGCTCTAAGGGAGCTTCGCAAATCGATTACTCCCGCTAATACTTTTTCTGCGGTAACCCCACTTCCTTTTTGACGATTAAGAACCCCGTGGGCCGCAGTCAAAATCTCTACGTCCCTGTAATTGGTGTGTGGACTTCAAGGCAGCATCGCCCCACGCGTTTTCCTTTAGCCCGTTTATTCATGTATTTACTTGCAATACTGCAAGCCCCCAAATCAGGACCGCCGCAGGGTATCAGCACATAACAAAATATTCAGCAAACGCAGTATAAGAAAGCAGCTAGCTTGAAGAACATATACGACACATGATTAGTAGCACAAGAATGAAAGTACAAACCAGCTGAAACAAGAAAAATGACAAGTTCTTTACATACCACTTTCAATGAACGGCAGAAATTGTTCCCCGTCGAAAACATCAGCCCAAGTTATACAGTGAAACTTTATGACGAAATTGTACACTACAAATTGCGATCCATACCGTATATATATGCGAAGCTGCCCCAGCATTATTAACGTCGAACGCACTTTCTAAAACGAGCTGTACGTTAGATGTGTCGAACTTAGTGCTCGCGACTTAGGTCACCCACACGGGCCGAGCCACTGCAGACTCTCGTTCCTGCGGCGACTTAGAAAGAAAACAAAAACAAGCATTACAGCGGCTACGCCAAACACGGAATACTGTGCAAACAGGTTGTCATCCTGCTTCAAAAGAGGTGCCACTATACGTGGCGAGACATGTGTGCACACTGTGGCAGATTTCAGGGATGCTGGTTCGTATTATTACTTCTGGCATTGAAAATACAATTGACAATGGTGCTGCAAGGCGCACGACGCACAGAAAGAACAGTGCAGACTGTGGGACAATGAACTTGCTTTTGGAGCGTATTATGTCTGCAGAGTGGCATGACGTGGCGTCTGACTTCACAATATCCCGTATTAACGAAGTAAGCGCTGGGTTTCATTAAAAGCAAGTTCAGTGATATTACAGTACTCGTATATCAAAGGAATTCTAGGAAATAGAGCTGCTCGATATTATCAGGTTTCGCAATGTCGTTCTACTCGACTTCCGAGCGTGGATGAACTTGAAAACCTTTCTCTCTTTTTTTTTTTCGAAGAAAGTAAATATATTTCTAAAGCTCCGCGCGGCTAACACACCCAAGAACATGCATTCGGAACTAAATCAGTGTCGAAAAGAGTTGAGCCAGGTCTTTACTACAAAGCCTTTGGGTGGAGATAAAGGAAGCACTGTTTGTAGACGTCACAGAATACGCGGATCGTCATGCCTTCGCAGTGGCAGTACTCAATACTGACAAACAATTGGTCAGCCTGTGTAGTGTACGCTGCAGAAACCCTGAGATAGAGGAAGAAGTGGCGATAGCCCTAGCTGTCGTGTGCCGCAATTGCCGATATGTACTAAGGGATTCTGATACAGCGGTGAGAAATTACACGCCCAAGGGAAAATTTTACCAAAGGTCGCGTCTAACGCGAGCTATACAACATCGGAAGAGACGGAAGAACGACACACTATATGGTTCCCAGTTCGCACGAACTCCAACGACACCGTACACAACCTCAATGGGGACCCGCAGGTCGCGGGATCGAATCACAGCGGCTGCATTTTCGGTGGAGGCGAAAATGCTGTAGGCCCGTGCGCTCATATTTGGGTGCACGTTAAAAACCCATAGTGGTGGAAATTTCCTTCGACTACGGCGTCTCTCATAATCATGGTAGTTTTGGGACGTTAAACATCACATATCAATCAATCAACCTCAATGGGGAGGTCCATCACGTAGTGCGAGGTTTCACGTTCCGCGCCTGCGTAGAAAAACCCTCTCCCGCGAGGATGGACATCCAGCGGAGGGCTGGACAGAGAAGGATAGCTTCACCTGGTACTGTGGCATACCAAAGTTTTATTAAACTCCAGGCGTATTTATTCACCGCCAAGCAAACTCTACCGATCCGAAGAGGTAGATTGGAGGCAATTACAAACTCATACCTTCCCCAACCCCGTTAATCTCAGGAGGATTTACCCACACATCTATCCAGATGATACCTGCAAATTATGCGACCTAAATCACGCATCGCTTAAGAACGTTGTCTGGGAATGTGCAAAGAAAATCAAGTCTCCCCAGACGATGCTGCTGCGCAGCTCCAACCTCCACGAGCAACTGTGGACCATCCAGCATTGCAAGCCAGTAAGGCGGCCAGGAGACGTGTAGGGTATCCCGTCCTCCTCGAGCGCCGCCTAGGCCCAGGCGACTAAATTTCCGGAGTTTGTGTTAATATTGTTACCACCACCATCTGCTAACCAAGCTTTTCGCGGAAGCAGTGTAGTCGACAGGGTATGGTGGTAGGGTAATTTGCTACTACGAGAAAAATTATCATATGTATAAAGTCTGGGGAGCTATCTTCACGGTGTCTGATTCGTGGACATGTCCGATTCGCCTGAGCGCGTTCAGTTACACAAAAGAAAAAAAAGACAACGGTGAATCGTGACATCATGGCACGCTTTACCACGTCGGCTAACCTAACCCGCCAGCACATTGCCAGCCTAAAAGAAAAACAAACTAGTGGACGAAATGTAGAGTAACAGCCTTTTAAACAAACTTGACAAGTCTGAACGTGCGTATGAACGTGTTGAGATGTTTGAAGAGTGATGCACGGAATGCGTACAGACATTTCAGGGGCGTCAGGCGGACGACCGCGTTAAACATAATTCAAGGACTAACGTGATTATAGAGTACATGCGCTGCCTCAGAGATGTACGTCTAGAAGCGGATCTATGAGAGCAGCATACGTTGTGGTGAAACTCATTCCACTTTTCTCATTTGTGTCGAGAGTTGTCAAAGCTGCGTGGAGGGAAAGTTACGTTGCGGAAGAGAGACCGGAAACAGGTGGCGCGCTGCTCGCCAGCTCGCAGCCAATCAGGGGAGGCCGAATACGACATGTCCACGAATTGACACCGCGAGAGCTCCTGGTTCCTATACCATATACAGCTGCGATATGAACCCAGGCTTTTTAAGTGAGAGGTGGGCATTCTATCACTGCACCGTTTTGATGGAGCCGCGCGCATCGCAGACTACGATCGCAACGCCACAAGCAGCTTGACCCCGTTTGGGCTCCAGTTTTCGAACCTTGTTCAGAGCACTCCAGTGATCCAGTACACTCTACCTGAAATAACAGCGGATGTGAGAGACCTTCCTTCTCTCCCTAAATTTTATTTTCTCTCTAAATGCGATCTATCTATCTGTCTATCCGTCCGTCTGTCCGTCCGTCTGTCTGTCTGTCTGTGCTATTATACTCTAACGTAAAACAAGGGCCTGATTGATGCGACAAAAGACAGGCCAAGTATAAAAGAGGCGAAAAACATACAGTAATCTTCTTTCTAACGAAGAAGCTAAGGGCGGGCTCTGCCAAGCAGGGAGACAAGCGGGAATATGAAAAAGCATTAGCGATGCGATCTCTCAAATGGTTTTTCACTCGTTGCGTATTCAGCTTCTAACAACGCGGCGTTCGCCCAGCTGCACGCCGTCGGGAAGTCGACGCCTCAAATTGCTGCTTCACGGTGCCGACCGCGTTTATTACATAATGACAACTCCAACACGCTGAACATTAGCGAACGGAGCATTTGGAAACTGCTCTCTTTTGTTTGTTCTCTTCGGGTATAGAGTTGTTCGTGTTTCGAGATTGCTGGGTCCTACAACGCTGGTTTTCGGCGAGTTATATAAAAAGGAAGCAAGGACTACGTTAATTTTTTTGTCTCCTCTCTTTTTGCCATCGTCAGCCTGTGATTGCAGGCTTCCAGATGGACAACCCCCACCCATGTGCGTGTCATTTGGGAAAGAACAATCGCACTAGAATAACAACGTTATCCCGGGACTTAATTGGAGGCGCAAAAAAACTGGAGGCGCCGAAAAAGGAGGTGGAAGCGCTCGCGGACCAACTCTTCACACTGTTAATTGCAACATTATTTTTTTTCTGCTCCCGGAACAGTAGTCGCAACGAAGCAGCGTGAGTTAGGACCATTATAGCTTCCAGGCGCAGTGGTGTCGCACCCTCCGATTACGACACGGGCGCCGCTTGTTTGTTATGCGCAGGCGAGCTGCTGCATCCGTCGATGTCATGAGATGCAAAAAGAGCTCGTATGTGCGAATGTGCTAATCATCGTTCGCGTAGCCAGCGGGCTTTGCTTCTATAATGACATTCTCGGTATATCAAATGACGGCCGAATCAACAATGCCACTCTGCGCAGCCCGCCCGAAAACTACGCTGTCTCACGACGCAGGGTATTCTTCGGGGCGCGCATAAGCGCATCGTATTTTTTTTAGTTTGGTTCTGCTCAATAACAGTACGTGTGGCTCGCTATTTATGCGGGTCTGCGTAGATGATCTCGTCCGGATCATCGTCATGGCATTTAAACTGTAGTGCTGTTACACGTCGCGTCGCGGCCTCGTTGCATCATTTTGCTGATGAGCACCACGAGGTGCCGTGTGGGTCGCATTTCGATGAGGAGGGAATGCGGGTCATTTGCAGGACTTCTTGGGCAAGTATAGATTGCTTAGCTCGACTGTGGCGCGAAATGCATTTCGTTAGAGGGAGGGGATTCTCGGGAGACGAAAGTGAAGTGCCGACTACTCACTGTCTAATGGCACTTCCAGAAAGGTATAAACACACACACAAAAAAAAGAAAAACTGACAGACACCTTCCGCGCATGCCTATAAAAAGCCGAAGCATGACGTGGATCGACATGGTCGACATATATAATCAGGAAGTCGCATTACCGAAGACTACGTAGTTATGGATGAGCATCGCTGGCACAATCACGCCCTGCCCGCAGAAAGTATTGGCACTTCACTGCTCCCCTTTTCACGAAATGCATTTTTCGCCGCACTAGCTCATGCCTTATAATACAGGCAGCCGTCATTTCGTGTTGCGCCAAGTTTTTTAGGACCCTTCACGATAGTGCCCATGATTCTGTTTGGTTTTTCGCGCGTATACCTTCTTATGAATTGCAGATTTCGCTGGAGGCGTGGCGCTGCGCGAAACACTACAGGCGTTGACGAGAATCTATAAACGCGGTCCTCGGAGGCGCGCCGGCCGCATGCATATATGTATACGCGCCGTTTTCCAATGAATGATCTCATCTATAGATCGTGGGAATGTCGGCAATCGGCTGTTCCTGACATGGCGAACTGATCTTTGATCGAGGTGGCTGGTCTTCTCGCGTTGCCGCACGCCATTGCGTGGATATGAACGCACGACCTCGCGCTCTAGCGCCGGCACGTGAGTCATGACGCCTGCGTAGGCGCGCCCTCACGTAACGTGCGTAGGCGCGCCTGCGTAGGCGTGCCTGCGTAGGCACGTTCTCAAGCACTCAGAGCCGTTTTCGATTCCGCCAGTGAGGACTCATGATAGAAAGAACGCTATTGCTGCAGGCGTATGTTTTTGTGAGGCGCTTACCCGTGTCTTATTCTTCTACGACTACTACTACTACGCCTGCGTAGGCGCGCCCTCACGTTACGTCCGCAACCACTCAGAGCCGTTTTCGATTCCGACAGCGAAGACTAATGATAGAAAGAACGCTATTGCTGCAGGCGTATGTTTTTCATGAGGCGCTTAGCCGTGTCTTCTTCTTCTACTACTACTAATACTAATACTACTCCTACTACGCCTGCGTAGGCGCGCCCTCACGTTACGTCAGCAACCACTCAGAGCCGTTTTCGATTCCGACAGCGAAGACTAATGATAGAAAGAACGCTACCGCTGCAGGCGTATGTTTTTCATGAGGCGCTTAGACGTGTCTTCTACTACTACTACTACTACTACTACTACTACTACTACTACTACTACTACTACTACTACTACTACTACTACTACTACTACTACCGCAACGTTCCTAATGGAATACCTGGCGTGCAGTCGCGCCGCAGTGCAAGCCCGGTCAGAAGACGGTGTACGGCGCAGCGCGGCAGGAGGCGGTGCGCGTGAGCTGCGAGCTGGAGGCCGATCCGGCGCAGGAGCTGGCCTTCCGGTGGCGCTTCAACGCGTCGCAGCAGATGCTCGGCTCCACCAACGTCATGAGCGACGGCACACGCAGCTGGGCCACCGTGGTGCCGCAGACGGACGAGGACTACGGAGCGCTCTTCTGCTGGGGCAAGAACGGAATCGGCATACAGCGCGAGCCGTGCATCTTCACACTCATTCAGGCCGGTAAGTCCGAATGGCATGCCGCTCTGGGCATTTTCCGTGGGCGACGACATTGCTCTTCCACGGCGCGTACGCGGTTACTTCCTGACGGACAGAACAATGTCTTTACAGCTAGAAGCGCAGTTTGCGGCCCTCTTTCACAAGTGTCGGTGGCACGTCTCGCCAATCGTTGAGTCCCTTTGTCTTGTGACGCTATTGGGGACTACCTGTGGGGAGGAAACGCGTTGTCCGCTCTCTGAGGCATCATTAAACCTAAGGCACCATGCGGATGAAGCATTGCCATGATTTTGGGACATCTGAGCGTGGCGCCATCTCTCGGCGACAGCATGACGCCATGTCCTAACTGCGTGAGAAATAGGCAAAAAAAATCATATGTGACGAAAAAAGCTCGTTACCAACAAAGGCCCGAAGGTCGTGGGTTCGATTCGGGCCGCGGCGGTCGCATTTTGGTGTAGGTGAAACGGTTGAGGCCGGTGTGCTATGTTATGTGAGTGCACGATTAATAATATCCATTTGGTCGAAATTTCTGTAGCCTTCCACTACGGCGCGTCTCATAATCACATCGTGCTTTGGAGGCGGAAAACCCCAGATATTATTACCAAACGGGGCTTCCTAGAATGTACCTAGAATGTTACCCACTAGAGAATCTTATGGCAAAGTTTCAGTATCGCACTACAAAACATGTTGCTTTCCAAGACACTGACACACCGCCCATGAGAAACGCATGGAGCCGCATTACAATGTTTAATTAAACATTCAGGGAAGCCATGTGATTTGTAGTGCGGCACAGTAATTTTACCAGAACGTTCCAGTGGGTATCTGGTGTTTGGAATCCGGGGTCTTATTAGTAACTATAGCTTTTTTGTTACGTTAGACATCAGTTTCTCACCTATTCTTTCTTTCTTCAGTTACGGCTAGCCGCCATTGCCACCGGCGAGAAATGGCGCTATGTGCACATGTCCCCAAATGCTGGTCATGCCCCTCATCCCTTGAGAGAGAGAAGAAACTTTATTAAAGTGTCCCTGTTGGGGTCAAAGGTGGCGAAGGAGGGGCGGAAGGGGGGGCTCTTTCGTAACCCCCTTCTCCAGGCGGCGGCCAGGCCTTGAATCCTGGCGGCGTGCCGGACAGCCCAGAGATGGTCCTCCGGGATGTCTTCCACGAGTTGCGGGCATCGGTCTCGTCCCTTGACCATTTCGGCTCAGAGAAAGACGAGCGCTATCGTTCGCAGTTGTGCGAAAAACAAGCCGCAAAACCTGCAGCAGCTGGCTTTTCCATCTTCATAGTGTCGTGTGACCCTGGTGCATACTATGCTCATATACGTATATCCCGGCCTCACTCCGGCGAACGCCGGTCCAGCGGCCGAAACATAAGTTATTGATCAGCAATTTTTTTTTCAGAAGTGCTTGATTTTTTTTTCAACTCTAAACATGTAATTTGTGGAATAATTTATTCTATAGCTTTTCAATACCGCACTCCCCACTTCGGAGGAACCTTGAGATCGTTGTACAGAAGAACGCTCTGAGCCCACGGAGCTTTGGCGGCGCACTGCGCAGGACCTCCGGATGCGGTGCAGAACTGTTCGGTGCAGAACCAGACCGAGGAGTCGGTGGCATTGGCGTGCTCGGAGAGCTACGACGGCGGCCTGCCGCAGCGCTTCCGCCTGGAGCTGCACGACACCGCAAGGCGGTTGCTGCGCGCCAACGTCAGCGCGGCCGAGGCGCCCTCGTTCGTGGCGCGCGCTCTGCCGGCCGGCACCAGCTTCGTGGCGGCCGTGTACGCCTACAACTCGCGCGGCCGCTCGCCGCCCACCGTGCTCGTGGTCAGCACGCTGCCGGCACCCGTCAGCCTCACCCGGAAAGGTACCTAAGCCTTTTTTTTTTGGCAGTCCTCTGCTTTTTCACCTTGATCTCCGAGATCAAGATCGGAGCCGACAGAACGAAGAGGCTAGTAGAATAAGCAGAATTAACAGAGGAATGTAGTCGACTAAGGTTGCACGGCGGGCTTGTTGGTTATTCATGTTGTTCGAGGTATAGCGCATCCAGGAAGGGACAGAGAAGAAGACACAGAACACATACACGGCGCCGTGTATGTGTTCTGTGTCTTCTCTGTCCCGTCCTGGATGCGCTATACCTCGAACATGAATAACAGAGTACGTTCCTCAGACACGCTGGCCGACATTTCAATGGGAGTACCTATAATGTTCGAATACGTCTTCTCATCTTTGGTGTGTTAGTGTGTTAGTTTGAAAGGAGTTAGCTCAAAGGGCGCAAGGCCACGGGCCACCACAGGAGATGACGTGGAAATGACGTCAATACTAACCCCCTTAAAACTAACATGCAAAGAATGACCAGGCGCCTTTGACAAAGATAGGTCCATCTATTGAAACGTCGGCCGGCCTGTCTGAGGTACTTCCTCTGTTCATTCTGCCTACTCCGCTGTTGCTGTTTTTTTTTGTGAGTCTTGTTCACTGGTACTATAGTCGCAGAGGTGCATGAGCCTTAACATGATCCGGGCTTCCACTCGTGGCTGCTAGGCAATCACAGTGTGGTTCCCAATCGTAGGCTTGGCGACCAGTTGGAAGGAGGGGGAGCACTTATACCCACAAAGATATAATGGCGGGAAATAATTGTGTTCACGGCGTATAGCAACGATAATTGCAACACTTATACCATGTCTTAATTCCCAATACGTTGACGTCCTACAATATTATCTTGCCTGAAAAGGAGGAATAGCGATAAGCAAAATAATAACGAATATACACATAGTGAAATAACTCGGAACGTTAAATCAATAATTATGATTATATAAGAGCAACAACGGGGAAGATGCACATGGTAGTCAGTATTGCCGACCACTTTCATCTTACCCTTCATTGCTCCTATTATTTATGCGACATTTAGTCGCATCGCATGGTAAGCGCGACAACGGTATTTTCAACCGACAAGACCAACATATTGCGAAAATTGCGGATAAATTAAAGGTATTGACATAGAAGTATGAAGGGAGTGCGTAGCCGGTGCTTCTCTTGTGCCGCAATCACCAGTTGCGCACTCTCCTGTAAGGATAGCACAGTGCGCAGGGCGACATAAGAATTTATCTGTACTCAAACTTATTTGCGTTAGCATTATACCGTAGACATGAGAGGCCGGGTATGTAGTGCCATCTGGCGGAGTGGAGATTAAACTGGCAAGCATAGAATTGCTATTTTATAAGTGACTTTTGAAAGAGGAAAAGAGAGAAATAAGCGAAGTTACGTTACTGCCTCTCTCTCAATGGAGGGCACCTCTACAGTTCTGTGCACAGAATGGGGGTAAGGAGGGATTAAAAAGGATAGGAAGGAATTAAAGGTATATATATATATATATATATATATATATATATATATATATATATATATATATATATATATATATATATATATATATATATATATATATATATATATATATATATATATATATATATATATATATATATATATATATAGAGAGAGAGAGAGAGAGAGAGAGAGAGAGAGAGGAGCAGGAAGAGAGAGAGGCACAGGGACAGCCACATACGGAAGTAAAAAAGACGATAGGAAAGATGGACACGGCCGCAGAAGTCCGAGTACAGGGCACCACTCAGCGAGAGCTCTTGTCGGCGTCAGGAGATGGCGTAGGGCGAGCCAGTCGGCCAGAGCTGCGCTGTCGTCGGAAATCGCGGGGGCACAAACAGTCGGCACGAAATCCAGCGAGCGAGTCCGAATCGTTGTTGCAGAAATCTAGTGCATTTAATTCCCTGGTGGTGTGACCAGTGAGGATTGCTGGCGCTGATTCGAGCATCGGCGGCCAATCAGTGGGAGACGCACAGCGTGGTGGTCCGAGGTTTTTCTTCCGCCTTCGGTGGAACTCGGCGTCGAGCGCTCGAGTCGGTGCCTTTCCTGGTGCACAGTGGTGCCATGTCTGCTGTTTCGGGCAATTGCAACTATGCAGCCCCCGCTACATGAGAAACATTTGGGCGTCTTCGCACTCCTTATCACTGCAAAGTGAGGCGGCCGCCTTTCTTCCGTCCGGCGTCCGCGGCAAGCGGTGGTTCGCCGATCGCAAAAATAACTGTAAACTATCAGTCACCTGTGGCGCGTACCGTGGTATTGGCCACACGTGTCTAAAAAATGGCCCCGTATGTGCATGCTAATCTGCAAATGTCGTCGAAAGACGATAGTCTTGCACGTGGAGAGAGATAGCAAAACATTTATTTGATGTTCTGCGTAAGAAAATTGGTGAATGGTATACTGGAAGCGCTGCGTTAGAGTGCCTTGAGCGTGCAGCGGAGGCGAACGAGGGAATCAAGTCACGTCACACGTGAGGCACTAGCGCTATCTGGCAGTTTTCTTGGAAAACGAAGCGTGTAGAGGTGACAAGGTGTAGAACGCAAGGGGACGGGTAGGTGCCACCACCGTGTTGTATTAGCAAAGCGTTGGAAACACTCGCCTTTTAGTGCAAGCGTTGCCTGGTCAGCGCAACGTTATAAACGCTACGGATTTTTTAATTACTTATGTATGATTTTTCTAGTAAGAGACGCACTTACAGAATATATACGTATTGTTATGGTGCCTAAGATACGCGCAATAATTGCTTTTTAATTGACAATCGCACAAGTATGAATTATCAACCTTGAGCCACATTGGTGCGCGCTGCGGATGGGGTCAGCCGTTTGGTGTATCGTTTGGTGCCGTTCCGAGTACCCAATACTATTAAGGGTGGACAAACAGACAATTGCACAGACAGACAGACAGACAGACAGACAGACACAGACAGACAGGCTAAAGTTTTTGCGTCGAAGGTCCCCAAGTAAGGCTATTGTCTTTTAAAAAATCGCAGCATATCTACGAAGTGAATGATGACGAGTGGGCGAAGCTCCGGGGGATCATTAACCATTGCCCATTCGATCATGCTAAGACGCGACAACACGTGTGTACAGCATATAAAAAGTTGTTTACTAATCACAATGCGCATATGCTGTTGAAATGTCCATATGGATGTTCATATAGATATCCATCGCGCGTCATGCCAACGGACAAGGGATATGTCAGACAGACAGACAGACAGACAGACAGACAGACAGGCTAAAGTTTTTGCGTCGAAGGTCCCCAGGTAAGGCTATTGTCTTTTAAAAAATCGCAGCATATCTACGAAGTGAATGATGACGAGTGGGCGAAGCTCCGGGGGATCATTAACCATTGCCCATTCGATCATGCTAAGACGCGACAACACGTGTGTACAGCATATAAAAAGTTGTTTACTAATCACAATGCGCATATGCTGTTGAAATGTCCATATGGATGTTCATATAGATATCCATCGCGCGTCATGCCAACGGACAAGGGATATGTCAGACAGACAGACAGACAGACAGACAGACAGACAGACAGGCTAAAGTTTTTGCGTCGAAGGTCCCCAGGTAAGGCTATTGTCTTTTAAAAAATCGCAGCATATCTACGAAGTGAATGATGACGAGTGGGCGAAGCTCCGGGGGATCATTAACCATTGCCCATTCGATCATGCTAAGACGCGACAACACGTGTGTACAGCATATAAAAAGTTGTTTACTAATCACAATGCGCATATGCTGTTGAAATGTCCATATGGATGTTCATATAGATATCCATCGCGCGTCATGCCAACGGACAAGGGATATGTCAGACAGACAGACAGACAGACAGACAGACAGACAGACAGACAGACAGACAGACAGACAGACAGACAGACAGACAGACAGGCTAAAGTTTTTGCGTCGAAGGTCCCCAAGTAAGGCTATTGTCTTTTAAAAAATCGCAGCATATCTACGAAGTGAATGATGACGAGTGGGCGAAGCTCCGGGGGATCATTAACCATTGCCCATTCGATCATGCTAAGACGCGACAACACGTGTGTACAGCATATAAAAAGTTGTTTACTAATCACAATGCGCATATGCTGTTGAAATGTCCATATGGATGTTCATATAGATATCCATCGCACGTCATGCCAACGGACAAGGGATATGACGGACAAGGGATATGTCAGACAGACGGACGGACGGACGGACGGACGGACGGACGGACGGATGGATGGACGGATGGATGGACGGATGGATGGATGGACGGATGGATGGATGGATGGATGGATGGATGGATGGATGGATGGATGGATGGATGGATGGATGGATGGATGGATGGATGGATGGATGGATAGCGCCTGCAGTACCTAAAGAGATGATTCGCATTGAAGAGTACTTCTGAAAGCATTTTCCGACGCACGGAATCGAACGGGCGACCTCTGGCTCCGCAGCGCGAGGCGTTGGACGGCTCAGCTATGAGAGCGCACCCCCTTCAGCATACTAACGGCGAACTATTCATATACACCATTAATCGCTGGTGGTACGCCGATCTCGTGGACATGTCAGGGAGATATTTGCATTACCAGCGAGATGGCTCGAAAGGTGCGCTCGCCACGCTGATCGTGGCGATGCGCCATACAAAGCGCGGTCACCCGTGCGCGCGCGCGTTTATCTCGTGATGGGGGTTGTTCGCACATCCTGTACTTTCACCGAAAAAAGAGAGAAAAAATTATTTATATATATATATATATACAGGGGGAAGTGGCCTGGTGTGGGCCCCCCCTCACACACACTATAGGTGGGCTGAGCGCACAAAGCCTGTGTGTACCTGTGCGTGCGTTTCGTGTGTCCTCTCTGTTTGAGCAGCGCTTCAAGTGTTCAGCTGTGAATGTTGTTCGCGTTCGTCCATTTTGTGTTCTTTTCGTGCGTCCTTTGTGATCCAGCAGCTCGCTGCATGCTTCGATCTGCTTGCCGTTCTTCGCGCGACTATTCAATTTGTTGC